TTTTACATAGAAAGTACGGGATTTCATCCAATTTTGTTGTTGTTGTTGTTGTTGTTGACTGTAACATGTAAAAACATAAATTTTCTCACCTTGAATCAATGTTTGGATTCTATTAACAGTATTTGTTTGTTTTAGATTTTTTTGCGCAAAGTTATACAAGGTCTATTTGCACAATGCAATCTCAGAGGAAAGACAGTCAATAAAAAGCACCAACCGCCAACACCTGGAATACGTTTACCTGCTCGAATAATAGGATTTGTTATACACTTTCCTAATACACCCACAAATTTGAGGTGTGGACCGTTTTTTGCAGAAATAGGACGCGAACCATGAACCTTTGGATTCACAGTCCGGGCACACTAAACTAGACCACGCCTAGTCCCCATCGATAGTGAACGATATTTATAGCAGGTTGATAATTTAAAGCTTAAATTAGCAAACGGAAAGTTATTTGAGAGATGTTTGTTTGAATTTAAGCACAAAGCCACACAATGGGCTACCTTTGCTCTGCCCACCACGGGGATCGAAACCCGGATTTTAGCGTTGAGTGATGAGTGGTTAGTTATGCAGTTTAAGAATGTTTTCAGTAATTGTTCAAATAAGTACTTTATTTTAATAAATCAGTAACAAAATAGTTCATATTTAACTAGGTATTAATAATTAAGCTTTTGTACCTAGAGAGACATTTTAAACATCAAAGGTAGAATATAACTGCTAGTTATATCATTAGCTGTAATGGTTAAATTGTAATATTCCAGTAAAAAAATTACAGTAATTATTATCACATATCTTTATTACTTACCTTGTGACTATTCTTTACTACGATTAATTTTCTAAAGTAATTTTCCTTTCTCTGATTAGCCAAAAATCATGATGCATATTTCCGGTTGAATGTTTCCTGTATTTTTAATTGTTTGAAACGTGTTCATTTTCAATAATAATAATATAAGTTGTAATTATGTTTCTACAACTAATTCATTTTAGTGGGTAAGACTTATCAAACTGGGTCTGTTTTGTAAGAAACACACAACTTCCTTTTCAAAGAGAGTCCCCCCCCCACTTCCAGTAATTCATTGGTAAGTCTGAAGGCTTAGTTAGCACAACACAGATAGACCATTTTATAGCTCTATGCTTAACAAACAACACAAAGAGAATCCTAACAGAAACTAAGAACCTCACTAGATAATTTCAGAAAAAAAAAAATTTATGTTGTTTTTTACGCCTAACATTTTTACGCCTAATGAATATTGTTCAAGAGTTATTAAACCAAAAATAAAAATAAGACTATATTTAATTAACTTCGGAATTTTAATACTGAGAGTAGTGAAAGTGATTATTGAATGATCAAAGGGTTGAAAACAATTTTAATGTCTAAATCTGACATTTGTCTGTAAGGATGCGATCTTCTTAAATATTATACTTACCTTCCTATAGATGGAATTTCATAACACTGAAAACTCAACTGGATTTCTGGATTTTACTTGTCTCTAGAATTCCATTAATGTCTTTTGATTTTTTTGCCCGCGCATTAACTATGTGCTGTGGTTATGGAATGGTTTGACCTCTACTTTCTGTAGTTATGCTGCAGTACTACTGAACTTTGTCGAGGGCGACATGATCAGTAAGCAACAAACTGAAGGAATACGTAGCCACAAGATAGTCAGTTGTACTGCACAATATAGCTACATGTGTAATCCATTCGATTACTGAGATGGAATGGCGTTCACTTTCGAGGTCAGTAGAAAAGTTGGACTAGCGGTTTCTTAAGCTGCGAATCCATCCAGTAAATGACTTCACTGACGTTGTCATTGTCTTCTGTGTTTATGTAGTTCACAAGAAAGAGCCCTACCTTATGGCGTCTGTTCTGCAAGGAATCATCATGGCTGACTGGCTGTCTCATCAGGATGGACAAATTGCTAAATTTATGCAACAGTGAGCCAAGTTGCAAGATACTTTGGTAATGGTGATTACGCTTATAGTCATCATAAGGGTGTGTTCTCTAAGGATGATGGTCTGGCTGGTAATGACTAGCACCAGCGATTCTACTGTTGCTATGATTATTAATGGTGATTACGCTTATAGTCATCATAAGGTTGTGTTCTCTAAGGATGATGGTCTGGCTGGTAATGACTAGCACCAGCGATTCTACTGTTGCTATGATTATTAATGGTGATTACGCTTATAGTCATCATAAGGGTGTGTTCTCTAAGGATGATGGTCTAGCTGGTAATGACTAGCACCAGCGATTCTACTGTTGCTATGACTATTAAAATAATTATCTCTGTCGATGACACCAGTAAATTTCACGTGTAACGTAATGTCTAAAGCTGGCCTCCTTACCAATTAGAGATGACAGTGACCAAAGGTCGATCAGTTCCGTCTTCATAAGAGAATGATTTGTGAATTAGTATATAAATTCTATCACATATTTATGAACGTGATCATTTCTGCAACTAGAGAGATCAGAGTTAGTAACTACAATCACATTCAATTATCCCAAGTATCAGTTCGTCAGCTCCTGTGTAAATAATGTCAAATGTACATATTTTATTTCACCATGTGTACCACATTTTAATACCTTTCTGCTGTGTTCGAGTTTAAATGTTTTCTGATTTTATGCCATTTTTTTTTAAGGTTCTACATAAGTTATTATCAAAATATTAATGCACTTCAAATATCAAGGTTAGGTAATTGCATTGGATTTTTGTTTGTATCATGACCTGTGTTTAGTTATGAAGTTGTACTGAATTGAGTTATAAAGATGTTTGTATTTGTCATATGTTATGGTGGACTAATTTTCGTCTATATTCTTGATTTGTTTAATGTTTTGACCTTTATTAACTCCAATCATTTTGAACCATATTTTAAGGAGGGCTAATATAACTCGTCTTTTATGAAAGTCATATGATCTTTTTTGAAATTCATTACACCTTTTATATGCGTGCTATATATGCTCTTCTATCAAAATCAACTTATATGAATTTATGATTTGCAACTACGTAAAGTGTGAACAAACTTTTCTATAATATATATTTTAGTTATTGGCGTTGCATTTTTATTTCTATTTTACCGTATTTATAGTTTACATGATTTAATAGGATGATAATTTTAAAGATACTCAAGGCGATCTGAACAGATAAACGGGAAGAGCTGTGAAATTGTTAAATATGAAACACAATCACTTATATATTTAATTCTATAATAATCAAAATTCAACTACATTTTTAGACGTCATCCGTCTTTAGAAGTCTTATTTTGATTTATAGTAGCCAGTATCCTAAGAATGTTATACCTAATTAGATATAACTGCTCTGGACTGTGGTTGTGGATTTTATCGGTCTGTTAAGTCATGGTACTTGAAAGTTGACCTCTTAAGGTTTTTGATCCTACTTTCTCATGGCACTACAGAGTGGTTATCGACTTTTCATTTGTTCAGACTGGTAGAACTAGATGGAGTGATACATGTCTTTGAGTACCATGTTTTGTTTGTATGAGTTTTTTCTAGAACTTGTCTCTTCTCTTGATATAGACTAGTTTACATTAATTGTGATATTGGTGTACATCAAAGTTTCAGATACATTACTAAATTAGTTTTAATTTCTATGTTTTCCTGCATCTTTGTACTTATCCTCCTTTGTCTTGTTCACTTGGTATTGCACCTTCACTGTTACCTGTGTTCATTAACTATTTGATCACCTGCTGACCAAATCTGGTCCAACCTCCTTACGACTGTGGGAATGGCTTACCTGAATGTTAAACAGGAAACACTGTACAAGAGTCGATCCATATAGTTCAGCTTCTCTGTAGCTTAAATGTTTTATACCATCCTGCCATCTCTGAAGTATAAATCTTCCGTGAGGATTACTTGTATATCTTTCTCCATAGCTTCGATTATTTGCTTGTTTCTTTGTTGTTAAGCACAAAGCTAAACAATGGACTATCTGTGCTCTGTCAAACGCGGGTAGTTAAACCAAATTTTTAGCGTTATAAATCCTCATATTTGCCACTGGAGGCTACTTCTAATAACAAACTATTTAAAACAGGAGGTTTATCTTTCCGGATTTCTCCATAGGAAAAAAAAGAGCTAAAGAATGTTTTGTCATGTTATTATTATCTTCAGCTTTGAAATATATTTTAATATATCAATATTTGTCACTTTAATTTGTTCTTTTGTAATCTCTAATTTCATCTTTTATTCTTCTCACGTCTTTGCAGAATTCACACACTGGTAAATTAATTTCAGCGCCCTCTTGATGTATGAGATACCTCCACAAAAAAACTACCTTTTTTACTTCAACTACCTTTGAAATTTAGAGTTGCTATGAATAATTAATTTTCAGAAGTATTTCAGTATGCATATCTGCTACATGAATTAAAGGTCAAACATAACTATATATATATATATATACCTACTAATGTGGTTAAAGGTAAACATAACTATATATATATATATACCTACTAATATGATTAAAGTAAACATAACTATATATATATATAGTA